TTCTTTCTTTTTTTTTTTTTTTCTTTTGAAATAGGGTCTCACTATGCTGCCCGCTCTGGCCTTGAACGTCTGATCCTCCTGCCTCAGCTTTTCAAGTAGCTGGAATTATAGGTACATGTCACTGTGCCTAGTTAGAGAATATACTTTGTATAACATGAATCATTTCAAATTTATTAACATTTGCTTTAAGACAGAGATTATGGTCTATCTTGGCTAATGTTCTATGTACACTTGAAAGTAATGTGTATTTTACTGTTCTTGGGTGGCGTGTTCTAAACATATCAATATATTACTTCATCAAGTGTTACTCAAGTATTCCTTATTCTTACTGTCTACTTATTCTGTCAATTACTAACATAGACATATGGAATTATCCAATTATTACAGTTCATTTGTACACTGGTCCTTGCAGTCATACCCATTTTGATGTTATGTATTTCAGACTTCTGTTATTAGGTATCAGCTTTTAGGCTTGTTATATCCTCTGGGTGAATTGATCCCTTTATCATTAACAAATAAATTTATTTACCCTGATTGTATCTCTTGCCCTTTAGTTTACTTTAACTAGTAGAGTCATTCCATCTTTCTTTTACTTAATGGTATGCATTTTCCATCCTTCTATTTGATCTATTTATGTCTTTACATTTTAATATATTTCTTATAGGTGGTATATTTCAGTCTTGGTTTTGTGTTTCATCTGACATTCTCTGACTTCTTATTCCATTTACATTTATTATAATCATTAAGGGTTCCAAGAATACACAACGAAGAAAGCATAATCTATTCAGCAAATGTTGCTGGGTAAATTGGATATACACATGTAAAAGAATGAAAATTGTACTCTTATCTTTCATCATATAAAAAATCAACTCAAGCTGCATGCCAGCGGCTTGTGCCTATAATTCTAGCTACTCAGGAGACAGAGGTCAGGAGGATCACACTTGGAAGCATAGTTCGCAAGACCTTAACTCAAAAAAAAAAAATAAACCCTCCACAAAAAAAGGGCTGGTGGAGTGGCTCAAGGTATAGGCCTTGGGTTCAAGCCCCAGTACCATCAAAAATTTTTAAAAAATCAACTCAAAATAGAACAAAGATTTAAATGCAAGACTTGAAACTATAACTTGTAAAAGAAAACATAAGGCAAAATCTTCATAGCATTGACTTGACCATGATTTCTTGGCTATGATAGCGAAAGCACCAACAACAAAAGCAAAATTAGACAAGTAGAAGTAAAACAAGCAAGAACTTCTGCAGCAAAGGAAAGAATCAATAAAGTGAAAAGACAACTTACGTAATAAGATAACACATTTGGAAAACATACATCTGATCAGGGATCCAAAATATATAAAGAATGCCCACAACTGAATAGCAATAATAATAATATTAACCCAATTTTAAATAGACAAAAGTCTTAAAAACATGCTTCTCCAACAAGAAGCAGGTTGCTTATTGCTTGTCCAACAAGTTTGTGAAAATATTTTTGTCATTACTAATTATCAAAGAAATGCAAATCAAAACCACAACTGGGTATTTCCTCATACCTGTTAGGATGGTAAGAATGGATGTTGTTGCAAAATTTAATAAATAAATAATTTGGTTTTTTGGTGGTAATGGGGTTTGAACTCAGGGCTTCACGCTTGCTAGGCAGTTGCTCTACCACTTGAGCCACTCCAACAGTGCAACAAATAAATAATTTAAAAGAAAACAAATGTTAGTGTGGATATGAAAAGTTGGAAACTTTTTGTAGTATTGGTGGGAATGCAAAATGTTACGGCTTCTTTGGAAAACAGTATGGAAGTTCCAGAAGAAATAAAAACAGAATTATTGTAAGATTCAGAAATCCCACTTCTTGATTTCCAGAAGTTAAAGAAATACATGAGCTATAATCCTAGTTACTTGGGAGGCAGAGATCAGGAGGATCGTGTTTTAAGGCCAGCCCAGACAAAATAGTTCAGGAGACCCTATCTTGAAAATACCCAACGCAAAAAAGGGCTGGCAGAGTAACTCAAGTGGCAGAGTACCTGCCTAGCAAGCGTAAGGCCCTGAGTTCAAATTACAGTATCACCAAAAAAAGAAAAAATATATAACACTCCCATGTTAATTGTAGCATTATTCACAAAAGTTAAGACACAGAACCAAACTAAGAGTCCATCAATACATCAATGGATAAAGAAAAGTGTAGTGCATGTAAAACAATGGAATATCATTCAACCTTAGAAAAGAATGAAATCTTTCCATCTAGGAAAACATGGATGAGCCCAGATGATGTGCTAAGTAAAATAAGTCCCAGAAGGATTGATGGAGTCATACTGTGTGATTCCACTTACATGAGGTATCAAAACTTGTAGAAGCAGAAAATAGAATGGTCGTGGCCAGGAGCTGAGAGGAGAGAAAAACAGGGCATTACTGCTTCATGAGTATAAATGTGTGCAAGGTGAGTAAGCTCTAGAGACTACTCTACAGCCTTTTGCCTGTGGTTAACAGTACAATATTTTGCACCTAAAATTTTGTTGAGAAACTAGATCTCACGTTAAAGTGACCTTATCACAGAACATTAATCTGCACAACAGCTCAAAAATACTGGCAGTATAATTTTCTCTATTTAAGAAATGAAGAAACTAAGACTTAGAAGTTTAAGTTACTTGTCCCAAAACACAAAGCTATAAACAAGATTCAAGTCCAGGAAATGTTATTCCAGAAAATATATGTGATAAAGAAATTGCTGAATATTAGATTTGCCTTTAAGAATGTCACAAACTCTATAATCTATATATGAGATAGTTTACCATTTGTACTTAATTACTGTACAATATAGTTATATTTATCATTGTATATGTCAGATTAACTATATTATGAGTTTTTACTGAAATAGTAGAATATAACCTGTAACCATTCCTATAATCTTTCCCAGTAGCTCTTCATAACTATTTCCTAAAAATCTTTAATGATATCTGTCTCCTGAGTCAAAAAATCGTGGGAGGTACCCCCCGCCTTGATTTACTTAATCCTGCTTTTTAAAGATTCTCTTAATATCCTCAAATAGGACAGGCCAACTAAGGTGAACTCATGTGACAACCTCTTTACCTTTACCAATGGTCAGAGTTAGCTACATAGTTTGTGGAATGAATGCAAGATGAAAATGTAGAGCCTTTTAATAAAAGAATTATAAGACAAAAACAACAGAGTATCAAACCAAAGTCTGAGCCCTTCTAAGCACAGGTCCCTGCATAACCACATAGCCCACACACCTATGGAGCTGGTTTACTGTCACCTGTGACCCTGGGGTTTTAGACTGGCTTGACACGTGACCTAGCCTCACTTCTGAACTTTAGAAGTTGACTCAGTTGACATAAAATGTGCACATGTACACATACACATATATATATATCAGGTAGACATATATACACACATACATACATGGCATGTCTACATATGTGTGTACATGTAGTCTGAACATAAATGTGTGAATGTGTTTGCATATGTATGACATTTACAGATGAGTATGCTTTAAAAACCAAAATTCATGTAAAAATCTGTTGAGTGCAGAAGTCTAGCTTCGATTAGCTGTAGTGTCTCCACTCCTAATCCTACTTCCTTAAGTTTAAAAACTAAAGTCCAGGCAGAACACAACCTATGTAGTAACCACATCTCTGTTGTCAGCTGGGTCCTGCGTGGTATATGTGTTTACTCTTTAACTTTCTAGACCCTCAGCATAAATTCAAATGGTGTCAAATTATAATTACACAGCTTCATCTCCATCTGTCCTGAGAAAGTGCCAGTCTTCCAGTTTTGTCCCATTCAAGTGTGCTGGTTTGGATGATACTTTCGATGGTCCGCTCAATAGAAACCAAATGTGTCAAAATCTTTCTTCAAAATAATGAAGTGCTATAAAAATAATAACAAATAATAACAAAAAAAAGAGCAGTGTAACTATTTCCAGTTTTTCATAATTGCATCTATTTTTTCTTCACATGTATGCATGTTACCCATAGGAAAAAAATCTATTAAAAATGGAATGTGTTTTCCAATTTTGATAGCTTTCTTTCTCTTAATGTGCCTGCCGTTGGTGAGAACCTGGTGCAACCCTGCGTCTCCTGCACTTTTGGGCTTTGTAGGTTGGAATAACCACTTTAGAAAGCTGGCAGACCTAGAACAGCAGGTGGCTGTTCACAGCCTCTGATTCAGTGACTCCTTTCTAAAGTGTTCAACTACACAATTATATACATTCGGTAAATAAATGTGTAAGAATCTGTACGTCATTTTTTTTAAACCCAGAATACTATCCAAGTTCCAATCAGAAGCAGAATGGAGATTGAGGCATAGTCCCATGGTGTGGTACTGTGCAGCAGTGCAAATGAGCTGCCTTCTAGACAACCAAATGAACGAGTCTCAGAAACATGACAGTGAACAAAAATATGGAGACACAGAAGAGTCCTTCCTGCATGATTCCGTGTACATAGAATACAACAAAATCAGAACTAATCTGAGCTGATAGAAATAAGGAAATGGCTCCGCTCACCGGGGTGAGGTAATGGTGACTGGGGGAGGACTTGGGATGGCTTTGGCTGCTGGTAATGACATGTTCCTATGATCGTGGTATATACAGATTTAAAACACATTCATCATACTCATTAAAAAGTTTGAGACATATATTACCTTGAATCCATACTCAACTAGCTAAAGAATGTCTCTACTTTAGCGTTAACAAATAACCAGTTTAAGTAAGTTACTTTTTGATTCTAGCATTTGATAGCTCAGAAATACTCTTTAGGTACCTTTCTAGTTCTAAATTACTAGGGTTTTAGAAAACCACTGATCAGGAATAAAACTAACTTTCAGGCTTTTTAAAATTCTAATTTCTACTGGCCTTCCTAATCAACTACAGCTTTTAAACTCCTATATTAAAAGATCAGATTCTTTGATATTGAAAAAAGTTGTAAGAACTTTTCTTGGTTATTACAGAAGTTGCTTGCACTAATTGCTTGTTTCCTGTTCTGTAGGCAAGCAAAGGTCGGACCACGATTGTGGTAGCACACCGGCTTTCCACTGTTCAAAGCGCAGATCTGATTGTGGCCATAAAGGATAGGACAGTGGTGGAAAAAGGAACACATGCTAAACTAATCGCCAAAAGAGGACTCTATTATTCACTTGCACTGTCACAGGTAGTGTTTCTGTGATAAAATCTTATGTCAGAAAGGTTTCCTTCTTAACTTTCCAAAGATAATAGTGCACTGGAAAACAGAAATCTCAAATTATAATCTTATATTTCACAAAGCAACCAAGGTTTACTTACAGTTCATGTGAAGAAATTTAGTATGTGACAGATATGATGAAAGACTAATGCATGAAGGTGGGAAGTAGCTCAATGGCAAAGCACTTGCCTAGCAGGCACAGGGCTCCAAATTCAATCCCCAACACCTTAAAAAAAAAAAAACGCTAATAGAGTACATAGTGCCTAATGTTAGCCAGGCACACTACAAATAGCCTTCGAAGTGCGTAGATCCAAGGCTGTCTAATTCTACACACTGTGATTGTTGTTAGAACACAAATAAATATCACATACACCCTACTTAAAGACCTAAAGCTTAGTTATTAAGGCAAAAATGTGCATTAAGATGTCACAAGTAGAAATAAGAAGGAAGAAAGATGGAGAAAGAGAGAAACCATTATTATCCTTAGAGAGCTTCATAGGTAAGTTCTTGAAGGCTAGAAGGTGGGAGAGGAAGGGGAAACAGAGAAGAAATCCAGGAATGTAGGCCAGCAGCACAGAGGTGAAAAGGAGCTTGGCGTGCAACTAAAACAAAGTTTCCATATTTGTAGATGAGTGTTGGGTGGATAACAGAGAAAAGTTAGATAGACACCAAGGGTGCGATCATAGAAGTTCTTGGGAGTCAGGCAGAAGGGCTGAGATTTCATGTGTAGAAAGCACTTAACACAGTTGGCACTCAATAAATGTCTGCTGAATGAAGAGATACACACACAGTCCATGTTGTATACATCCCACATCCTCACCAGGGGCTAGAAATCTCACATGGGGCAACCAAAGGTGGCATGGTGATTCTGGAGACAGGTGGTCAGTTCCCATTCCTCAGGACCCATGTCTCCACATGCCATGGAATCCACCCTACTGGATTTTGCATGACTTCTTCATCAGGACAGTCATAGAAGTGACAGGGATTAGCTCTGTCATTTCCTTCACTGCAGCCCAGTTTTCTTCTCTTAACCTGGAAGGCAGGCTTCTTTCCACAGTTCAAAGCACACATCTGATTTTTTGTGACCAAAATTTCAACCTTTTTCTGTCCATTTTATTTCTTCAATTCTCTAGTCATATTTTTAACATCAATTATTTTACAAATTGGGAAATTTAGAAAGTTATGAGACTCAGTCTCCTCATCAAATTTATAACTTCAAATTTTAATTCCTGGTTTTCTCAGTTATATTAAAGTGAGGTATTTCTGAACACACCTTATGAAGTAATGAAAATAAAACAAAAGTTTGAAAATGCAACCTGATTTAAAAACAGCCTGACTTGAATTTTATTTCATATTAGTTCATATTTTGTGTTTCCTTTAAAATATCAGTGAGGTGTTGTTTGACAACTGAATTTGTGGATTTTCATTCCATAAGAGTTAACTTATGAAGTAACTAAGTTCAATATTTTCAAATCTATATAAATATTAGTAAAAGGAAATAACTGACGTCAAATTAATCGTATCTTGAATTTTTAAGGAACTATTACATTCAGATCTTTCTTTGGAGTAACATATCTTTACTTTCTCATTATACTTGAGCTAAAAATTTATTATTAGGTCTTGAGTGAAAGGGATTCACACGTAGGAAAAACAAAACTGATATGTTTGTGTTACAAATATGTAAAAATGTCAATCTCCTTATTTTGAAAAGACTTCTCCAATCACCTAAAATTATGTCCATTCAGAACTAACATTATTTCAAATCTTAATACGCAATGAACCTACATAGACAAGTGCTTATCTTTAAAACTCTGCTACGGTTGTCTCTAGTGTCAAAAACAACCAAGTTATGAGAATTAGTGACAATCACAAGAATTATGAGGTTAGTGCTGCGAAGAGAATCCTGAGGGGCAGCAAAGAAGTTAAGTTTATAAATGCTGCAGTCACTTCCAGTTGACCCTGCCACTTACTAGTTTTAGGACCTGGGCCAAGTTATTTAAATTCTCTGTTCTGCAGTCTGGGTAAGGTGGCTTACACCTGTAATCCCAGCTACTCAGGAGGCAGAGATCAGAAGGATTACAGTTTTAGACCAGTCTGGAAAAAGTTAGCAAGACCCCTTCTCAATCAATTTGCCAGGTATAGAGGCACAAGTCTGTGTTCCCTGCTACTTGGGAGGCATAGATAAGAGGATGGTGGTCTATAACAGCCAGTCATGGAGCAAAAGCTCAAGACTCTATCTAAAAAATAACTTAAAAGCAAAAAACAGTTAGAGGCATGGCTCAAATGGCAGCATGCATCCTTATAAACACAAGGCCCTGAGTTCAAACCCCAGTACTGCCAAAAGTAAATAAAATTCTCTATGCTTCAATTTTCTAATCTCTAATCTCATAGGGAATATAATAGTAGACAATTAATTATTTTAAGTATTAAATAAGTTAATTCACTGTTGGCATAAGAAGTGTTATTACATTATTATTATTAGCATTATCTAATCAAAGTTTTCAGAAAAGTTCAAAACATGGAGATTCAGATAGTTGTTTATCTAGACTGCATGAAAGTATGCAGACACACTCATTCTATGTGAAAGTCAAATAAAAACAGGAAGAGATACCTGCATACCAAAGCTTACTGTCTGAGGTGGAGGCGTGGCTCAAGTGATAGACCCCCTGCCTAGCAAGCACAAGGCCCAGAGTTCAAACCCCAGTACCACCAAAAAAACCCCAAAACTTATCATCCTCATTATTTTGTCTAGCAGATTCCATGGGAAAATCTCTGACCTGTTAATGCACCTTCTTAGGAAAAATTATTTTGAGGAGAGAGCAAAGTTTTATTTTAAACTTGACGCAAAGTAATTAACTCCTCGCAGGGGGGACAAATAAAAGATTTCTTTCATGGTAAAGAAATTTATGGAAAAGAGATAGCATACAGGAACATCTGACTAAAGAAGTCTGATAGTACAGACTGGCTGAAGCTCGCTGTGCCTGTTTATGACAGATCAACAGTTGCTAAGCTTGTCAGAGAATCAGTGTCCCTGGAAAGTCTTCCATGTGCACACTCTTCTCCTGCACCTGAATCCACCCACATCTTTCCACCTCATCTCTCACCCTATTCTGTGCTGCTGTTGTCCTAACGAGGCTCCTCATTTCCCTCTTGCTCTCCTCCCATCTCTTGTGGGAAGTCACAAAATCTACTCATGTCACATTCGGATGAACAGAGAGTGGGTAGCTTAGTTCACTAAAATTGGTCTCACTTCTCTGAGTTACAGGAAAAAAAAAAACTACACATGGAGCAATCTGGTATAGAACTTCATTCTACCCTGTAACTTAACCAATGTGTTTAAGGCTAGTTTGATTTCTTTACACATTCTTATTCTTGTAGCTCAGTCCCTCAGTCTTGCATTATGATCAGTTTGGAATGAGCTACACCAGCAACCTAAAAAGCATTGTCTCCTGAGATCTCTCTCAAGCCCAGGACCAGCCTTACATGTGAAGGCCTAGTTATACATCAGAAACTGAAAAGCTCTAGAATGGACTAAGGAGAAGGGACAAGAAAGTGTTTTGTTTGTCTCAAAAAGCTTCTCTTTTACTAAGATCTGTCCCTGTCAGTGATGTAATTGTTCTGGACTGAGGCATTGTTTTGTCCAGGTAATGATGCATTCCTTAAGAAAAAGAAGGCCCAACAAGCTACTGTAAGTCAGTAACCTCTTAGTGTGAATTAGATTCAGCAACATTCTATCAAGTCTAAAAACTACTCAGCAAGAACTACATAAGAATATGTCACTTTCAATAGCAAAACAGTAGCAGTCTTAAAGGGACACTAAATAAAATTCCTTTAAGATTTTAAAGCACCATTCCAGTGATAAGCTGTACCTTCTTCACTTAAGGATATGAAAAAAGCTGACGAACAGCAGTCAATGACATCTTCTACTGAAAGAAAAGCCAGCTCTGGCCAGGTCAGACTGTACTGACAAGTCCAAAGAATCCATCCGCTATGAAGAGGTAATGGTTCAACTAGCCACAACTTTGTCCCCACATTCCCTAGTTTTTAATTCCTGTAAGATTTAGAATTTATTTCTAATAAAATGTCACTGTAGCACTAAGTTCACAAAGCAAGTCTTTTTCAAACTTCTTCTGTCATAACTGTGACACTCTAAGGAGGCCATCTAATAGGACTATATTTATGTCAGTGGTCCTTACAGGAAGGAAAATGTCTCATGAGAATGTTGTGATACTCTTTCCTCCAGGTCAACTGACTTTAGCTAGCTTATAAAATGCACAGTCAATATACTGAAATCAATTCAAATTCTATATATTAAAAAAATTAAAATGTGGGAAATTGAACTTTCAAAACCAGCATAAGGTGCAATTCTATTAAGTGAGTACAAAGTCCTAAGTGCAAACCCCTCCCCCAAATATAAAACTTTTGGGGGAAATATGAACTACATGGGGACAAATTTAATGAAAGAGTACAAAACTCACACTGAAATCTGCTAAATATTACTGAGAAAATGAAAAGAAACCGAAATAAGTTGAGAAACCTACACATATAATAGTCATGCAAGTGAATTCTTGCCCTACTTTTCAACAGTTTTCTATGTTAGTTGTAAAGAACCAAGGTAGGGAGCGATATTACAAGTAACAATATAAATATTTGCCAGAAGTCAGATTGGCTGCAATTTTATTGGTCAGATTTAACATCTGGTTATGGAAGTGGCTGATGCTGAATAAATTCTGGTTATTTTTATTAGATAATTTCTTGCTTATATATTTAAACTGTCAACCTAGTAAAACTTTGTTAAAAAAAAAAATATATATATATATATACTTGTTTTCCATTCTATGCAAATTGAAGGAAAAAGATGTACCATTTCTCTGTTGTATGTTGGATTTTGTAGGAAATGTTTATGAACAATTCAAAACAGAAGTTCTTGTGGATGTTTTGTGTAGCATTTTGGCATTTGTATCGATAGTTTAAAATTCACTTCCAGATAAAATTTCCATGATGCTAGGAAAAAAAAGTCATGCAAGTAAACTGAAAATTCAGAATTATTAAGATGCCAGCTCTCCCCAGATTCAGTAGGCTCCCCTGCAGAATCTGACAAGCAGATTCTAAACTCATTTGAAAATGCCAAAAGCCAAAATAAGAAAAACAACTTTGAAAGGAAGAACAGAGTTGGATCATTGATGCTATTTTATTTCTGTTCTCTTTCAATTATTATAAAGCTAAGAACTAATTCTGATTTCAACAACAAAGCTGTAGTATTCACCCCATAAATATGTACACTTTCTCTGTCAATCAGAAAAATAAAAGCTAACCATGATGGTTTATACCTGTAATTCCAAAACTCAGGAGGCAGAGGTAGGAAGATCACGAGTTCAACACCAGCGTAGCCTACATATAGTAATACCCTGTTTCAAATAAACAAAAATTAGATAAATAACCCTTTTAAAAAGAAAAAAATAAAGCCATATTATTCAGTGTAGTATTAGCATAGAAACAGACAAATCAACCTAATCCATAGATTGAAGAATGTAGAAAAGACCCATACATAATGATCAATTGGATTTCAACAAAATTCAATCACAAATTAATGCTCATTTTAAGAAATGATGCTTGATCAATTAGATATCTACATATAAAATAATATCAATCCATGCTTCAAACCACAGATTAAAAACTTGAAATGTTCGATCCCCAGCATAGCCAAAAAGAATATGAATCATGGACTTTATTGTAAAAGCCAAAACTATAAAACTTTTATAAGAAAATCTTTGTGACTTTGACATTTCCTAGATATCACACCAAAGCCCAACTGATAAAGAAGAAAATAATAAATCAGACATTATCAAGATCAGGAACTTTGCTATTTGTAAAATGCTTTTCAGAAAATGTAAAGGGTAAGACATAAACTGTCAAAAAATATTTGAAAATCAGAAATCTGATGAAGGACTTATATGTAGAATACACAAAGAACTCCTGATGCATTATAATAAAAACACAAATATCTGAGTTGAAAAATGAGAAAAATATTTAATAGACATTTTGCCAAAGAATAAGGCTGTGAAAAGTAAGCACAGAATACACACCCAATGTCATTAATCATTAGAGAAATATGAAAGAAAAGTCACAATGAGGTACCACTCTATGCACATTAGAACGGTTAAACCTAAAAAAGTCCTCCACATTTTGCTGGTAGCAGTATAAAATTTTAAAACCACTTTGGAAAACACTTTGATAGTTTTTTCTTTTTAAGGTTAACAAATACTCTACAATATAGCCATTCCATTTCTATATCCTTTCCCAAAAGAAATGAAAGCATGGGTCCACATGAAATCTTGTAGACAAATGTTCAAATCTGCTTTATTTTTAATAGCCTCAAAGTAGGACCTGCTCAAATTTATATCAGCAGGTGAGTGGAGGAATAAATTGAGGTACACGCATATAATGGAATACCACTCAGCAATGATAAGGAGTGAAATGCTGACTCGTGCAATGACATGGATAAATTGCAAGATAATTATGTTGAGCAAAAGAAGCGAGATGAAAAAGAGCACATGCCATTTGGTTCCATTTACCAATTCTAGAAAACACAAACATCTAAAGAGACAGAAAGCATATGAATACTTGCAGGGGAGAAGAGGAGGAGGAATGGACATTGAGAGATGTGGGAGACAAGATTCTAAAAAGCAGGAGAAAGTGGATGGGGTGATGGTTACATGCATTGTCATAACTACAGTGATACGGTGATGGTCTCAGCAGGTAACTGTCCGAACTTACCAAATATACATTTTTATGTACATGCAGTTTATTGTATGAAAATTATAGCTTGATAAAGCTCTAAAATACATTAGGTAAAATATTAATTCTTTTAGACAGTTTGCTTTTTGGCTTTCCGATGTTCCTTTCTATTTCTTTAGCAAATGTCTAGTTTATATTATATTGGATTACCTTAAGACATGCTATTACCTATAGTATATTTAGGTAGCATGGTGTCTTTTGTGACTTTACACAAATTTGTCATTTTGCTTTTGGTTAATTTTGTTTTTTTCTATCTTGATAACACTATTTAACCTAGTATTATTATCCCAGAGGCAAAAGGACATCTTCTTTAAATGATCTGTATAACATAGATGACCCTCTAAGAACAAGCTGGCCTTCCCACATTCCTGGCTATGGGATTTATATATCCTGAGACAAGCTAAGCCTTAGTTTCACCACAAAGAAAAGTAATTTTGTAAAACATTATGTTTAGTACTCAACAAAAAGTTGATGCATAATTTTTTAAATTTCCATACATTCTTTTATAGTTACCTAGCTGAAAAGTGATGCCTTTTACAACAATGAGCTTCAGAAAACTTCAGGAAAGACCATACTGCCAGATTATTAAGCAAACTAATATAACTGTGACGTCACCATTCTGAAAACAGATTCTCAAAGGCATTGGCGTTTTCAAAGTTCTATTGTCCAAACAATAGAATTTGAGGAAGGTTGCCAGACCAAAGCCGGGCCAGAATGATGAAATATTGTAGTCTTTCCTGGTGAGTTCTTTATTAGGTTCATAAATATTACTTTTCAAGTGAATGACAGGAGGAAGTTTTAACTTATGAACTATCAAACACATAGCTGTTCACAAGATATTTTTGAATTTCTGTAGTAAGTCCACTACCTATCTCAGACAACAGCAAGGAGAGATCATGATGTCATATTTATCCTCCAACAACTGCAATCACTAACTTCCTGCACACATTCCAAGAAGTCCTGGCAGATTGTGCTTTCTCTGTATCAAACTCAGGATTCTGTGTAATATTAGCCTTCCTCTATAACATCCACAACAGAACTGTCTGCTGACATTTATCGGGTGCTTATTATTTACGAATACTGAGTTAACTTTAATTCTAAAATTAAACCTGTAAGATAGGAAGCTAATATTGTCTTCCTTGGAAGGTTGAGGAAACTGAAATTTGGCAAGTTTAATTAGATATTGCACCATTCTGCTTGTAAATAAGAAGGCCAAAGCAAGCTTTTAACCAAGATATTAGAAAAATGGTACTCTGTAAATAAATGATGAAACTGGAAAACTTTCAAGCTTAAAATCCTAGCAAAACTTTTACCTTCTGCACTTTGTTTGCTTTTTTCTTTGCTAGACTTTGTCCTAGACTACAGTATGATATTAAGTCTTGCTTAATAAGAGTAAAGAGAAGTAAACCTATTGCTTTTTTTATGTGACTGTTTGCTGTCAGAACATGTGAGGTAATTTGTAGTTTTTTTAATGATAGCATCTGGGTGAAATGCCAAAAACTGACAAATAGTCACTTTGGGGTATGATTCCTTTATGTTTTGTGGTCATCATTAGTAAACACAGAAAGTGAAATTTTTTTAAGGAAAGTTCAACTTTACTCTGCAACCTGTTTATTTGATGTGTTGTGTTATGGTTCTGTTTGTGATTGGCTAACTTTTTTAGGCTCCATTATGTTCTCTCTCAAGCTGGGATTTTTAACTAAGGTATTTTATTTATAGACAAGTGTTCCTAAAGTTCCCCTATTGAAAAATTTTTAATTAAGCAAGTCTGAATGGCCTTTTGTGATTCTGGGAACATTGGCTTCTGTTCTGAATGGATCTGTTCACCCTGTTTTTTCCATCGTCTTTGCAAAAATGGTAACTGTAAGAACAACTCATTTGCTAGCCTTTTTAACACTTGAAATAAAGTATAGTCTGAGAGAGCAGACTTATTGCACACTGATGAGCAATAGGGAAATTGGGACTTTCAATGGGTCACCCCCAGAATGGTGTCCTTGATAGGAAGGTTAACTCATGTTCTCAGGAGATAAACCACATTCATTGTGTAATGTTGGTGGGGCCTTGTTAACTGAGATCAGTAAAGAAATGGCTTTGTTTTCTAATTTTGATTCCAGTGTTGTATTAGCATTCTTAAGCATTGAAGCATTAAAACAGACAAATACAACTGCTCCCCTTTCAACTAGTTGAAACAATGACAATTTTTTATTGCCAGCCAGCTCAGGGAAAGAAAGTAAGAGTTTGGGATTGGGCCAAGAACCTGAAGAATTGGCTGGCTCAAGGATCTTACTAGATCTGTGTTAAGTCTTCAGTGTCCCTGGTTTTCAGTTATACTTCACCAATGTTCATGTCAAGATGATTACTAACTCTAAGATCAATTTCCAGGGGCACATATAAGGGCCCCACATTGCAGATACTACTCTAAACACAGGAATATTAAGAAACCTGAGTTATTAAAGGTTATTGGAAATAATGACTCAAACTGGTGACTTAATTAAAAGTAAACTATGATAATAATAACAGAGGACCTATGTGGCTGCTATATTTACATACAAAATAGGAGAAAACTAATAGTAAATTAATTTTAAATCAAGTGTGCTAAATGCAGATGATAAAATAATAGTACACATTTCCCCCTAGAAATGTGTAGTCTTTTTCTCATAATTCACTTAGAAAATCCTGATGCATATAGGTAACTTAGGGCTTATTTTTTTCCTGTATCTTTTATACTTTCCCTCAAACCTCTATGAAAAATCTATTTCTTTTCAGATGTTTGAAGATGATAATAAAACCGCATTAAAGCATAATGCAGAAATTTATTCTATGATATTTGTCATTATGTATATTATTTGCTTTGTCAGTTATTTCATGCAGGTAAATGTTTGGGGTTTATTGTTTTTGTTTTTTTGCTTTTTGTTTTGGGGGAGGTTCTTTTTGGTGGGATCGGGATTTGAATTCAGGACTTCACACTTACAAAGCAGGCACTCTACCAACTTGATCCACACCTCCAGTCCATTTTGTTCTGGTTAATTTGGAGATGAGGATCTTGTGAACTTTTTTTCTGGGCTGGCCTTGAACTGAGATCCTCCTGATCTCAGCCTCACAAGTAGCTAGGATTACAGGTATGAGCCACCAGCACCCGTCTCCTACAGGCAAACTTTTAGTAAACTAAACAGCCCATCAAAAAAGGACTACTTTTTGATGTCATCCTCTGTATTTGAGTTAAAAAATGTCAGAAAGAAATAGAAAAGAGTTCAGAATTGATGTTGGTTTTCCTTTCATTTTTCTAGGGATTGTTTTTTATGACAGAGCAGGGAAATTTTTGTCCATGAGATTAAGACATTTGGCATTCAAGGCCATGTTGTATCAGGTCAGTGTGTTCAGTTGAATTTTTTTATTTTATTGGAAATTGGTTGTAAATTATTTCAGCTTTTAGTTCTTTCTCAAGTAATTTTTTGATATGGCCTTTCATTTGGCTCATTGAAAAACATGTTTATTTTGTTCTGAGCAGCAAAAATCTGACCTCAGAATTCTTACAGCTTATTTTTCTAATAAAAACAGGTACAAAGTTGTGATACTTGATATAGAAAACAAGGACTTATGGTTCACTTGCATTCAATTTAACAAATCTTTCTTTGAATGTACCATACCATCAGAATAGAAGAGCAAATTAAACTGAAAAGGAGAGGTGAGAACTGCAGTACCTTGGGAATTTATCTGAAGGCAATTTGTTGATAATTTCTCGAGTTCTCATTCATGGACCAGTTTAATTTCTCCACTCACTTATACCAGACTGTCTCCCTGCCCTCGTAGAAAGACTTCTGAACTCAGATAACATCAGTCTAGCTGGCAGCTGGCAGATCCGCCTGCCTCATACAGATGATCAATCATACCTGAGAAATAACTAAAATAAGGTGGATCACACAGTGATCTCTAACGTGAGTCTTGGGGGCAAATGGCAGGGATGTCTCCAATTGGCACCTCGAAAGTTCCTTCATGAGGCTGAGGTGGATTGGGTTACCCTGAAAGCCCGTAATCATTTGGAGCCCTTTGCCTCACTTTCTGTCACCAAAGCTCACCAAGCAGGAGCAAATAGCTTCCTGCCAGAGTAATTTCTTTTCAGAAATAGAGTTACTGTCACTCTGGCTGAGTTGTCAAAAACTCAGTTTTTACATTTTGTGACTTTCAGGAGTAGGACTCTGCAGGCTGCCGTGGAACTGAAGTCCATAGTCTTAGGGAAAAACAAGATCCAAACACAGTGAAGCAAGTTGGGGTTTTTGCAAAGCAACTTGGGGCTCTGCATCAATGGGCGCCCTTACACCCTCTGTTCCAAGATGTCCCATCTCAGATGTCTGCTCCACATTTGAGAAAAATGAAAATCTACTTGAGGAATCACAAATCGATTTAATCCCTGTGTGCATCTCTCCTGATAAATTTCTCCTTACTTTTCGTGTTAGTGATCTCTTACGAAGGTGACACTGCAATTAACGTGTTGATGACAATTTCTGTTTGTTTTTGTCTTCAGAAATTCATGTTTTTCCCTGTTCAAGGATATTTAATTTATATTTCTAGAATTTTTTTTAAATTTTTTTCCTGAATGTTTAGATATTTTTATACAGAGGAATATAAACTTTAATGTTTTCCAAGCATTACTTTGACCTTCTTTTCTGTTCACAGAATGCTTTTAGTGGAAGAATCTTGAGGCCATGAGTCAGTTTAATCAGTGGAATGCTGTTAATCTAATATTTCGGTGCTTAATACTGGACGTTAATTCCTTCCCTAGAATTAGCCATGTGTACACCCTCACAGTAACATTCTTGGATAAAGTAACCTTTGGCTACCAAAACACTCTTGTCTATAAATTGTAACCTGTCCTTCAAAGAACAAGCAAAGACAGACATGGAAACCCTGTGCTACTTAAGAGATGTTATTAAATCCCCCATGAATTCCATAGTTCCTTTCACTCTATTATCGTCCTTGCCTTTGTCATCCTTAAGCCTCTTTTTGCTTCTTTTATTTGCTTTTTAAAATTGCAGGAAAAGTCTGGCATATTTTGCCTTTTCTTTCTAAGTGTCTTCACAAGCTTTGTTTTTCCTACAGTAAGGGAAGCTCCTATTTTGTGTTTTTATGGAACTTTTCTTGTCAGTTTTGTGTCCTGAGATAAGATGTTTAGGCTTAGGAAGCGAGCTGAGGCTTGCAATGCTTTTTATAACCATTTTGAAATCTCATTTGAGGTAAAGGTATTTACAGAATCAGATGTGGCCTTTTATAGATATAAAATCTGTACCTTACGTGATTACTTAAGATCCTTTCAGTCAAAAAAGAATGTTCTAGTTCTTGCTAACTTCCATGACTATAAATAATTTATTATTCATTGTATTTCAAAGTTAAGTTCATATTTCTTAGCAGTAAATATTGACCTATGAGGCTGTAGGATTTTTTTCACAGATATGAAGTTCAATTTTGCCCATGTCCCTCTAAATTAGATAGGCTAGAGCTTCTAGGGGGAAGGGGATCTTTTGACAATAAGATGATACCATTGTTAGTGGCCCTTCAAGGATCTCAATAGGACTTAAGCTACTTCCAAAAGGATATGAATGAGTAGCAAGTCCTGAAACAAAAGAAATAGGTAATGAAACCCAACCATGATGCTTCAATTGGATAAGAAGCTGAATAAGGTAATGAGGATCTAAACCTCTGGCCTCCAGTTGCAGAAGTTCAAATCCTGACCTCAGCTCTTGCCAGCTATGTGGCCTTGAGCAAGTCACTTCACCTCTCAGTACCTCATTTTACCCATTTATAAAATGTGGATAATCATAGTACCTACCTCACAGGGTTGTGGTGACTAAATGAGAAAATACATGTCAAGCGCTTATAGTAGTGTGAGCATATTTTTTTTATTTGTAACAGAATTATTGGCAGGGGAAAAATGTATCAAAAAACCTGATGGCCTTTAATTACCTGATATCTTATAATTACTTTACCATCAGGAAGAGTAAGAGCAAATTAATTTTCACTCAACACCAAGTTCTAAAAAATCTGCTAAATGTTTTGTCAAATCTTACCTATGAGAAAAAACAACTCCTAGCACACACAATTGCTGACTTGTTGAAAAGCAGTTTGGACACCTTGATGATTGAACATAGGGACATTGAGATCAGTCACATTTGTAATCTATGTGCTGTATATAACAACGAGTTACTATAGAATTGGGAATGTGATAGTCAATATTAAATTCTTTTTCTATATTTTTGCTCTATATTTTGCATGTTCCATGTCATGTTGAAACCTAGAAATGATTAGAAAATAGACAGTGTCTCTTAATTTGGGCAAGAGAGCTATACAACAACAAGCAAGTAATGACTTACAGTTCAAATACTACAAAGTACCACAGTTATTGTTGTTGATGTATATTTATAATATGTTTGGCTCTTGCTGGGGTTGAGATTTCAAAGTAGCTACTGTGCGGAGCAGATTATGATTTTGTAAGATGGACTTTTGGCTATCCAGACCCTAAATTCATTGAGACACCCTTCTAATGCAGAGGTTCACAAAGCAGTGCTACTGGGCCAGGGTCCTACCCATTCTGGCTCCTGCCATATTCCTCCTTGGAGTTTTCCTCTAACACAACTGCATGTTTAATGCACAGCCCTCAATCTATTTTGGTTTTGTTTCCTTAATTGACAGCAATGTGTAACCTGGGCCTCAGAGCCCTGGCTAGGTAGCAGTAAATCAACAGTTTCTTTGCTTTTTACGCACTAAAAATAAACCATTTTTTCAGACATTCTCCACATGGTTTTAATCCACAAGAGCTACGAATGGTTTGAGTGAGTGGGAGGAAACATTCGATAGCTCATAAAAGGAAATCAAAATTCCTCAGGCTGACAAAGGCCAAGAAGCGTTGCCTTTTTTCACTGCTGGAAGTAAGATTGGTTCTTATGTTATGCTTTTATTGCCCGCATTTTGACCTGTCTTCTTTAGATTACATGCTTCTTGGCTGCAGGAGTTTTACAGCCCTTGCTCCTTAGCATCTCACACGCTTAATGTTCATAAGATTTAGGGGTAGAATGAAGTGTGAGGTAAAATGTCACCTATGTGGATCCTAACAAGAGGGAGGTAGACTTTTTGTCACTAGTCAGTTGAGGTGAAAAGATTTAAAAACATTTCTAAATTTGTTGGCCTTGCTTCACAATTTAAATAGAATCTTCCCTCCTCAAAGTATTTATGAAGTAAAATTACAAATTACTCAATGGTTCTAAAAAACTATTTTTTATCACTGATTATTCTACAATATTGTAACCCAGTAATGAGTCCAAGCTGTTGGGCTTAGATTCTTTGGTTTATACTAAATACAGATCTTTATGAAATAAGAAGCAGAAGTTACAAAAATGGTGAATTTAGAGGCAGGTAAATGCCTTCTAACCTACTATAGCAAAATCACAAGTCAGAGAAGAGTGTATTTGATAACCGTATGTTCCTTCTCTTTTTCTCTAGGATATTGCCTGGTTTGATGCTAAAGAAAACAGCACAGGAGACTTGACAACGACATTAGTGATAGATATTGCACAAATTCAAGGAGTGTGTACATTGTTTTTATTTTTAAATATCGTGTGTACATGTGAACCTGCACACGTGTGTCTGTGCCTGTATGTGAGCTGTGCTGAGATGATTCAAATCATTAAGGAAACCAGGTATATCTCCAGGCCAACAGCAAACTCTTAGGGAAAGATGCAAGGAAGCCTTTGAGATCCAGGTATTTTTAACCAAAAATAAGGAAGCTTTAGCACATATAATATGATAACTACAGGTCTAAAGAAGATACCAAGATATAGTCAGAGAAAAGAACTCAGAAATAAGCTGTCAGACAAGAAAGTGTAACAAAATGAAAGAAAACACACTCATCTTAGATTTTTTTTTTCCTGAGTCAGGCTCTAGAAATGTAGCACAGGCTGGCCTTGAACTCATGATCCTCCTGCCTCAGCTTCCCAAGTGCTGAGATTACAAACATGTGCCATGCCCAGCTCCAGAACTTTTAATGCAAGAAAAAAGTTTAATTTTTCATGATTTCAGGGACTAACATCTTAGTTCAAGCAATGTCACATGTGCCTCTGGAAATGATTCTGCACTCCTTGTTATAGAGATGAAGGTAAACAGGTATGTGTAATCACAACACACAAATTATGTATAAGCAAAATGTTTAGACAACAAACTCAGAATCAGTGGCACATGAGGCAGAAAAATGTGTGTACAAATTCATTCTTACATAAGTGTGGAGAGTAGGGTGGTGTGCAAAAGATAAAAGAACAATTTGATATTTTTCTCAGCTATTTTAATAATACTAGCTATAATGCCCTTTATAAAACACGTGAGGAAAAGTACAAAACAAAATGTCTCACTATTAATTGAGAAAAGATTTTCAAACGTGGTTAAAATAAAAACATTAGCAGGGTTGTAGGCTTTCCGTTTCTCATATCATGCACGCAGAAGAAGAGGAAAGTATCAGTGATCCATCTCTGACTGATGAAAAAAGGTTTTGGGCAGTACTGGGGTTTGAACTCAGGGTCTCATGCTTGCTAAGCAGATGCTCTATCACTTGAATCATTCCACCAGCTCTTTTTTGTGGTGGGTTTTTTCCAAGATAGGGTTTTGCAAACTATTTCCCTGGGCTGATTTCAAGCCTTAATCCTCCTGGTCTCTGCCTCCTGAGTAGCTAGGATTACACGCATGAACCACCAGCAACCAGCTAAAAATTCTTTAAAGTATTTATTCTATTTAGAAATACAGTAACATCAATTACAGCAATATTATTAGAGCAACAAATTATCAATTTAGCAATTCATCAAGATTGCATGTTTCTTTTGAAGATTATTTCCACAGGAAATTACAACTATTCTATTTGCTATCACTTTTGCAAGACTTCCTTGTTCAATATATATTACCAAGAACAAATTTATATATTACAGTACAAAACAAGCGGGTTAAGGTATGAATATTCACATCTATTCATTTCAATTAGAAAAACTGACTTTAGGACAGAGAAAGAGATCAAGCAGGAAGGGCATCTTCATCTCTTCTTGATTCTTTTTGATAATTTCTAAGGCAAGGCTCTGGAATTTCATTAGATAGTAATGAGCTCAATTTTTATGGAATAAGTGGAAAAAATTTGATGGGTAAAATTTCATTAATAGTCAAATAAAAGTGTAATGTTCATTTCCATAGCACAATAGAATTATCTGAAAAAGTGCACTTAGAATCCAGAGGCTTACAACCCTAGGTAGAATTATTAATTCCTGTAATTCCATTCAGATCCCCACCCCAACCCAGGCATAGCACACACCTGTAGTCCCAGACAGGATGATTGTGAGTTCAAGGCCAACTAGGGATACAGAATGAGTTTGCGATTATCCTGTTCTATATAACAAGACCCTGCCTCAAAAAAAAAAAAAAAAAAAAAACTCCATTCCACGAAATCTGATGTTTTTTCTTCACTACACTAGTAGTTTTCTTTTACTACCTGCCTTTCAAGTCTTTTGAGAAACAGGCATTCTTACCAAGCATTTGCTTCAACCAAAAGACCAAATTAGTATTGGAAGCCTGACATTACCTTCTTTCATTCATTTGTTGCTTCTAATAAGTAGTGTTGTCTCTAACTGAGAGAATTTAATGAGAATATTACTCAGTTTGATTCTTTATAAGCATCTGACTAATACCATTTTATCACTTGAAACTTTCTTGTTGCAATTAGTAGAAGCTGGTCCCATAACAACTTCTTGGCAAATCAAACCATTTTCACTGAATCAGAAGGAATAGCTGAAGAACAAATGGGTGGGTTCCGAAGGTTTTGAACTTGCTGAATTTAAAAAGTAAAGGTTTCTAAAATGAAACTGAGTCTAATAGCAGGCAGTTCACATAAACCTTCACTTTGCCACATAGGAGTAAATTCAGATCCAATTTCAATGACTACTCTTTCTACCAAACAAAGAATTATTTACCAATCTATTTGTTCACTGCTTCCTTTCTTACAAAGACTCTATAGACTGGAGATAAGTCAGGAAATAATTTGGAGGGTTATATTTCTATCACATAAACTTAACTAAATTATATTCCATCTCAGTTTCTTTATCATATAAATTCAGTTACATTTTGTTTTATCAAATATACCAGGGTGACCTTTCATAAAATAGCTCCTTAATAATAATATAGCTTAGTTGGAAAACTTAAATGACCAAAAAGATATGCATCTGGCCCTTTTTAGAAGCTCTGGTTCTCTGGGAGTCAGGATAAAAACATGAAATGCCATCATAGGACAACATGTTTACTGGAATAGTTGAGTGAACGCAATCAATTTAACTGGTATTGTTTTAGCCGGAGGTCATGGCTTATTGCCAGTACATCTGTCAACACAGTATTTTCTGGGCAACAGATAGTTTTAATAAAGGTATAAAACCATTCTAGATTTTTTTGTAGACTAGATTCCACAAAAATTATAAGATGTTATTATTTCTATATATTTTAGTAACCTTCTCATCAACCAAAGGTCTTACCTCCTTTTTGTCCACAACAAAGTATGTTGTTGACACCACAGTATACTCTTCAAACACCACTGACAGACCCAATGGCAGTGCTAAGCGCTCTCCTCATCAGAGCTATAATTACCTTGTCCCAAGAAATCATAAAGATTTATTTTACTTTTAATTCCAAGAGTCCAAAGAACTGATTATTTTGTACTAGGATATTATTCCCTGGATGACGCTGACCTCATTTCTTGAAGGAAGTATATAAATAGTTTGACATTACTTTTGATTTGAACAATGTTAGTAATCATTAAAACAACCTTACCACGGTATAAAGTTAGCCTATAATTACTGTTTGGCTCTGCACTTTTATGTTGAATTAATTAAGAAAGATTATCAAATCTATATCAAAGGCTAATATCCAAAGCCATGATAAATTCAATTATTTTCCACAAAATACATGCTAATGAATAATGACAATGAATAAACTTGAGTTTTCATACTTGATATCTTCATAACCTTTGTAAAAATTTATCCAACTACTTCTTTTCTCTGTTCACAAATTTTTTTATTTCTTTTATTCATATGTGCATACAATGTTTGGGTCATTTCTCCCCACAAATATTTTAATTACTACCACTTGTAATACATCTTAGCAGATTCTGCTTCAGTTTGTACTTAGTTTTTTCTCAAGTTCTTTAAAAATATTCTCATTTATAGTTGTTCCACAGAGACTGTTCACTACTTAGCAAGACTGTCTCTCTCAAAAAAAAGAGCAGTGTCATTAATGTACTTCAAACCATCATGAACCACAAACCATTCAAAATAAATTTTTAAGAATGTCTCTTAGTGTAGCCCAGGCTGGCCTTAATCTCAGTATCTTCCAGCCCCACATCCCAAGTGCTGGGATTACAGATCTGAACCACCATGCCCAGCTATCAAAATAACTTAATTTTTTAATTGACTATTGATGTTGTTCCTGATATCTTTAACTCTAAGCAAGCTCTCTCATTAAATGGGTAATAATCTTATACAAGCTATGCAGGCTGAAAACATTTCTTCCACTCCTGCAGTAAAACCTGATTTAATTAACTAATTATTCATAAAGGAATTTCTTGCTTGGCTGATTAATGAACCACTCAAAAAACTGCTTTTGGTTTCAGCCTCGTGTTCACACTTTAAGTTTACAATCAAATTCTGCTATATTTTGATCTATTGGTATAATATTTACTATTTAATATAATATTTCTATATATTTTAGTAGCACAGTAATTAGTAATTTTAAATTTTCTAATTTTTGTGAATGATATTTTGAGTTGGGCAGTCATACTGTTTTTATTTTCCATGATTATCATCACTATCAATATTATTTTCTATGATTATCTCTCATTTATTCTTTGTTTCTATCCCATTTATTCTTTATATAACTTTTCTATTTTTCTGCCTTTTGGGGGACTAAAATTTTTGTTATTCTATTTTCTCTTTCATTGGAGGAGCCAGTGATATTCCTGCCTGTAACTTTTATTATTGTAATGGTTACTTGGGGATTTATAGTATACATCTTTCTCTTGCCCAAGCCTACCTTCAAATCACATACCACATGAACTTGCAGTGTATAAAATTTATAGTAGTGTGCCTCCATTTTCTCTCTAAGCCTTTTGCTGTTGTGTCATCAATTTCCTTCTAGATGTAGTAAACTCAACACTGCATTATGATTGTTAGTCAATTGTCTCCCAAAGAAATTTAAATGAATACATAAAGTCACGTGTATTTACTCATGTAGTTAATTTTCTGGTCTGTCATTCCATATTCTAGACACATATTTCCACTGGTATCATTTTCCTTCAACCACCAGATCTTTCACATATCTTCCATTATGAGCCTGAAGGTGATTATATTTTCTTTTATATGCCTAAAAAGTCTTTATTTCACCTTCACTTTTGAAATATATTTCCCCTGGATATAGAATTTAAGGCCAACAAGTTTTTTTTCATTAAAATCACTCTTTGCTATATTTTTCAATGAGATATCATTCATTATCCATATCATTTTTCCTCTGTACATAATATTCCCCCACTCTTGTTGACTGCTTTAAGATTTCCTCTTTGTCACTGACTTTGAAGTTGTGATGGTCTTTCGTATTGTTTCCTACTTATGGCTCTTTGCTTGGAGTTTAC